AAAAAAACAGGGTATTGCAAAATATTATCTGAATAAAAACAACACCACACTTATTTGTGAAAGTGTAATATGATTGGCCAAGAGGTGTTCTGAAAATTCCATGTTTCTAACACTCTTGTACATGTTGTTTATGAGTGTAATGGTACAGAGTGGAAGTGGAGTGTTTTTCCATGGACGAGTACCAGGTATTTTGAATGTTGTAGCATTTGTGTTTTCTGTTGTATTATGGGCAAATGGAGCAATAGAGTAAGTGTTTAGCTTTGGTTAATGCTGGTTAGAGAGCTCATTGATCAGCAGTTAGTAAAGACAGTTTTTGATCAGTAAGATCAGAAGTGGAATGTTCTTAGACAAAAGTGCAGAATTTAGTGCCAAAAAGTGATTAATTATGCTTTTTCAAATTTGGATATAGATGTACCGGTATTGAGGCTAATGTCTTCTGTTCTCTCTCAGTCACTTGATTAGAAGCCTCAGGGTTTGGCGAGTCACTTGGTTCAGAGAATTGTCTCTAGTTGCAGTCTGTCTAGGGCTCTTATATTGATTGTATTGATTTTGTGTACCTGGTTCGAAAGTAAGGGAAAGCACGTCCACAGGAAGTGATGTGTCCTCACTTAGCGCCTTGACCACCATGCCGTTTAGGACTCCCTCTATGCCATATTCATCAGTGGAGTCTGTCTCACCTATGGCTCGTGTCCCATCAGTCTCAAATACTGCAGCATAGCTTGCTGCAGCACCTTCAGAGCTGACCGATATTACGAAGGGAATTGGTTTGCATGGACTTGTATTAACCTGATTGTCTGTATTAGCCCTCATGTTCCCTTTGGGACTGAAGGACTCCAAGGCTGTTTTAATAGCTCAAAAAACCATACTAATCATTGGCCTGTCAGGTTGATACTTAATGATTTTTAACTCATTCGGATGGTGAGGACTTACATTTCTCGCCTGGTGCAGGTGTGAGAGCCCTAAAAATAATTGAAAACTTGTCAAGAAGGTATGAATCAATTTGAGAATGATAAATGCAATAAAATTCATTGTTCCCGATAAAGGGGCTGACTGCATATAAGCCCGAGTATGTTTGTGTGGCTCTAACACCCAAGTGTAATATGTCTGGGCACAGATCCCTCTTATTAAAGTGGATCAGGTCAGAGAGCAGTGTTTAGCTAGGCCACCAAATATGAACAAAATTTGTTTTTTAAAGGACAGGCTGAGATTTTTAATCTCCTGCTAGTCAAGTGACCTCATTCTAGATAATCTGAAGGGTTTGGGCCCAAAATGAAGACAAGTAAATCGCCATACCATGAATACGGAAATCTTGAATTCAAGATCATCTTCGGGATTCTTACCTCTCCTGTTCATCTTGAGCATTCACTCTCTGTAAATGAGAATTTACGAAAAAGCCTTTTTCAGTTTAATAGTATTGGCACAATTAGGCTGTATTGGCAAGACTAAAGGACTGAATTGGCAACGGACACAAGCAGCTACTCACACTGGCTACCATGTCAAGATGCTCCTGTCTGCTACTAAAATTTCGGGCCAGATCCTCCATGCAAAGCGAGTCTCTCTGACAGGCGTACACCCACTGCTGGTACTCCATGGTGTCAGGAACTCTGTCAAGAAAGATCCGGAAGGCCTCCCACACAGCTTCTTGACAAACTGTTTAATATCATGGGAATTATTTAGAGAAGGTCATTAGAGAATTGAGCGGAGATGGTGAGGACTAACAGCAAAGACCTGATAAAACATGCCGGGACACTTAAAATTAATTATCTGCACCGCTGACCGAGATGAGATTAGCATGCAGTCATTTGATTCCATTATCTCATTTGCCAACACGGTTATTATGGACATTTAATTAAGAGTATCTTTTAACTGCATCTGACAGGTAAATGTGCCTCACCTTTAGCTTGTTTGTACCAGTAATTTAATATCATGCTATCTGCTTCAGTGTAAAAATGTTTTGTCAGGTGATCCCCTCCCCTAAAAAGTGGTATTATCTAAATTAATTGGTTTCATTCAGGGCAAAAATATTATTTAATATGACTGAATCAACCTGACTACATCAGGATACACCATCAAAAGCCTTTTTTAAAAATTTTTTTTTATATAAATATCTCATTTTATTTTTAACTACAAAGTGGTATTATCTAAATTAATTGGTTTCATTCAGGGCAAAAATATTATTTAATATGACTGAATCAACCTGACTACATCAGGATACACCATCAAAAGCCTTTTTTAAAAAATTTTTTTTTTTATAAATATCTCATTTTATTTGTAACTACTTTGATCCAACGTGATCTCATGATAATTTGATCAGGTAGCTCTTTAAGGGACACTTCATCCCGAAATGACATTGTTGTCATAATTTACTCCCTTGTGTTCTGCAGAAGTCATACAGCAACATGAGGGTTATAGTAAATGATGACTGTATTGTTAAGGGTTTTTCCACTTTGTTTATAGAGCTGCATTCACAGTCATGTACAGGTCATGTTACACTACCATTCAAAAGTTTGGGGCCAATGATAATTATTTATTATTTATTTATTTTTTAATGTTTTTAAACATTAGTCTCTTATGCTCATATTTAATGCTTACACTTATGCTCACCTGGGCTGCATATTATTATTATTATTATTATTATTTTTTTTTTTTAGAAAATACAGTAAAAAAACAGCAATGTTGTGAAATATAATACAATTTCAAATAACGGTTTTCTATTTTAATGTAGATGTAGCCATTACTTCAGTCTTCAGTGTCGCATGATCCTTCAGAAATAATTCTGATTTGGTGCTCAAGAAACATTTCTTATTAAGGTCAATGTTGTGGGAAAGTTAAGAAGAACAGCATATAATTGAAATAGAAATGTTTTGTAAAATTATAAATGTCTTTACTGTCACTTTTGATCAATTTGAAGCCTCCTTGCTGAATAAAGTATACAATTTATACAAAAAAAACTTTTGAATATATATATATTTATAAAGTTAAGAATTATATTAGATATTGAAAACAAAATGTTTAATTTCAATTTCTTTTTTTATTTACTTTGGTTTTACTTTCCTTACCACATATAGCAAGATAGAAAAGTCTATACAATAACACTCAAAGAAGGCAAGCCTAAAAACGTACACTACATTTATCTACACTTGGCTCAGAGCCACTTCTTTTTTTGGCTTGCATGATCCTTCATCTCTCAGAAGGCTTGGAATGATTGGGAAGTTAATTATGATTTATGAGGATCTGAGGTGTTGTTGCCAAATTTGGCACTGATGCTCAAGGCTCTGTCCCTTGTGGTGTTCAAGGTAGATGTTGTCCTACCTCTTAGTTTGTAGTAAGCTTTATGGCTGGTGATGACCTCTGCCATGCTCTCATGAGGACAGACTTTCACCCCCGTACCAAACAGCGCTGATCTCTTAGCTCGATGCGCATCTAGAGAAAGTGAATCTCTGCCATCTGTCAGCTGTTTGATTGGCTGTGGAGTCTCCAGGAAGTGCCTGTACTTCACATTTCTGATCCCGAGAATCCAGTCGTCAGCAGTGAGTTCTGCAAATGTCACAACAACAGCGTGTATTAATTGTTTCAGAAGAGCAGGATTGACTTTACCTGAGAACAGTAAGCCAATGGATCATATAATTACACTTCATGTAATTACGCTCGCTCGGAGACCATCTGAAACCCTTTAAGTCAATGATTAGTCTACTGAATGAACATTTAATTGGATTATTTAGGCCTAAGTCAAGCAGTCGGTTATAACACCATCCTGGCAGATGTTAAGCGCATTCACTAGATAAGAGTCGCAAAGGTCTGCTCTCCAGTTGTAGTGATCTCTGGGGCGGACGTACCCATTAGGCAAAGATAGGCAACCGCCTTGGGCCCTCAAAAGCCAAGGGCCCCCTAAAATGCTTTTCATAAAGGAGATGCGCATTAAGCGCTGACACACGAATGGTTGCTGTTTACGGTGTTTATTACCACGACAACCGTCCGAGTCAGTTGCGCCTGCAGGTGTACGGCTGTACGCACCGTGCGTACCATGAGCACTCAGACTGACCTCAGATTAGTCCCGCAAACATTTCAGCAGTTATTATAGGCCTGTGTGTCCCGTATTTCTGTCGACTGAACCAGCCATGCCATTAATTATGAATGTATCAGTCTTTTGCATGCCAAAGTCAATTTCTGCATATAAATATTACACCAAATAGAAGCAGAAAATTGTGCTATATGCACTTTCATGAGATCGGGTTAGCCTACAATTAATTTGTTGGCTATTTTACGAATGGGAATACAACGAATTCATGACAATGTTTACATTCAAGCTACCTGTAAAATGTATAGTGAAAAGTACTTTAAAAGCGCCTGGAATGCAATAAAGTAACTTTAAAGCTGTTTCTAAAGCATTTGCTGCATGGATAAAAAAAAATAGGCTAATAAATAATTCTCATATCATACAAAATTGCGTTGTAGCAAATCATTTCAATTTTAAGGTATTGAGAACAGAACAACATAAAAATCAGAAAATATTAGCAGCTATAGGCTACAATTATAGGACAAAGATTTACATATATGCCATTATAATTTGTGTTTTATTTTTAATTGTACGGAATTATAAAATAAAACTAATTATAATCAGGCCTGTTTTAGGCTTTTCCTTATTTTTATATTTTAGACATCCATCAATTATGGTGATGAAAAAATTACTCACCATCTCCTCATTGGATGTGCCTTTAGAGAGAAATGCACGGATTATATAATGAGCTTCTATTTCGATTTGAATTATTTCATTTTAAAGTAGAAATTTAAAGCTTTCTATAAAATTTTTATCATGTCTGTGAGGCAATTCGCTGAGTTTAGGTTCATCACTGTGAAGCGCTCCTGCTCAAGACCGAGACGGCAGAAAGCGTTTGTTTTCTTTATAAAAGCACAATGTTTTGTTGATATTGTGAGTGCACACAAATAAAGCTAGACCCTTTACAGTTTGTGCTGTCTTCCATGTGCTGAAGAGCACGCTTCAGCTTCCACTCTCCGCACAAACGATTGGATATGCATCTAACAGCGCACATTTATCTAGGTCAAACATTTTAAACTAACATTGTGATATGCTTGAACTGTTTTATACAGTATATAGATTTTATTTTAGGAAAGTCGTGATGATTTGAGAAGGCTAAATTGATCAAACATAGGCTATGAATCAATTCACTGTCTGCCGCTGGCCGTTACTTAAAAAAAACAAAACAAAAACAAAACTTTTAACATTTAACGAACAAAAAATGCTCCAAATGTTTTTCTAAATTTACTTTATAAAAAAATGAAATGAAATACAATCACTTTTTCATTACATACAAAGCTGAACTATTTTAATAGCTGAAACAGTAGTATAAGCTTTTTTTGGGAAAAGGGGAAAAAAGACGGGCTAGGGCCTATATTTGAGGCCCGTGCAGCACTCTAATCCACTTCATCCAACACTGTGTTGTTCTCATCTGTGAGCATGCTCTTGATATATGTATATGTATAACTATGTGCGTACCCTCAAAAGAAATCCTGCAGGCGCCCCTGGTCCGAGTTGAACGTGCTTTTTGTGTATCCTGCTTGATGGAGATGAAAATATTAATCATCGGAAGCTGTAATTAAATATTGAGAAACAGTGTGTATTATGTTTATAATTGTTTTAAATGCAGCTTATTCGTTTATGAGAAGGAACCAAGAGTTAACCACATAAGCAGTTACTTTTTTGGTTGATATCCTTAGGTGTGTAAATGTATAATTACCTTTTCATTATTTTTTCAGTTTTATTTAAATTTGTAGCTAAAATTACTAAAAATAAATGTATTTTAAGGTTTAGAATTAGACAGCCTTTGCACACAGGCTTATGCTGGTAACTCATCAGTAGACTTTCCTCGTCAATATAGACTATATTTTTTTCACACTTTTCTCATTCAATATTTCTGACATTCCAAAAGCGCCTCCTACTGGCAGAGAATGAATGTTCATTTTCAATAATACAGTCTGTAGTTTTTGTTCAGATCAATGCGAAAATCCACCCACATAACCCTGTTTTAAATTAATAAACAATAATAATTCAGTGGTTCTCAAAGTGTGGGGCGCGCCCGCCAGGGGTGGCACACAAGTATTGCAGGGGTGTGCGCGGGCCATCAGCAGAAAAAATAAATAAATAAAACCGTAAACAGCCAAAGGACGTAACTTAGAATGGGAGATGGATCGGTTTGTGAAAGGGAAGAGAAAAGCCATAGATGAAGTCGCACAGACCCAGGCAGGTGCTGGCCATTCAAACGCTAAATGCAGAAAATATGACGAGGCATATCTTGCTCTCGGCTTCACTCACTGTGTCTATACCGGACCGCAACAGCTCTACACTGGACGTGACAAAGTGACCGTTGCAAATCATTTTAACTTTGTGTCAGTACGTCATAAATAGAAGGCGGCATCAGTTTACTGTCGGGGATTTGGCGTGTCGTGTCGCGCCACGCCGCATCCAGTGTACACAGCGTCACTTATTATAATGGGTTTGACTGTATTTTGCTGCTCGCGTTCGGTGTAGACATGGTGTTTAATGTCGTTGGTGACAGCATGAAACCCACAATAAATAAATAAATAACAGAGAGAATAATAATAATAATAATAATAATAATAATAACAGTTATTCTCTCTATGCTATTTTTCAGTGTTTCAAGTGATGTAGGTGTTTTTTTTTTTCCCCTGTAGGATTTTTTACTATGGGGCATCATTGTGCAGCAGCAAGCATCACAACAAAAGAGGAACCTCAAGGTTGATCTAGGTAAATGTGTGCAAATGTTAGGGCCCCATTCCTATATTTTGCCTGGGGCCCCCAATTCACTAAATCCGCCCCAGAGTGATCTTAATTGCGTTTGATTGAAATCACATAATTTTTACATAAAGACCAAGCTGAAAGAAAGTCTTCAAGATCATTAAAATTAAAAAAGTCATGCTTGTAAATATAGTCATCATTGTTTTACATTTTTTCAACGTATCATACAATAATTTTTCATTATTATTCAGTTTCAGTTTTCAGAGTTTAACTCAATTTTATGTCAGCAGTTAGGATAGTTCAGCTGTTTTTGTCCATGTAATGACAATCAATGGGGTCTAAAACAATATTGGACCCCGATGACTTTCATTGTATGAGAAAAAAAAAACATTGAGACATACCTAATCAGTTATGGCCAGAGATAGCTGTTAGAGTTAACCAGCATCTACGGTCATTGCCGTAATAGAATTACACCTGGAGTTTCACTGGTATTTACAGACTAGAGAAGTTCAGGGTGAATTGTCCAGATTTTAGAATGACAGCAAAGCTCACTTCATTAACTTCAGTTCATGTCGTTGTCATAGTGAACGCAAAATGACAGTGATGCATTTAATTACTACAGTAATGAAGCATCAACATTTTTTTACAGTTAATAGCTCGTATCAAAATACATCTGGATATTTTTGCATCAAATGACAACAGTTCTGACTAGTTTAATAGCTTATCTCTTCAGCGGTTATAGTGTAATCTTTATAATTTCCTCTTAGATGCAACGCTCACAGATCCATTAAAAACAGTCAAATTGTTTGTCCCCTCCAAATAAGATCTGAGCCACTTCAATGCCTTTTGAGAAATTGAAAGATGGTAGGTCTCTATTTCAAATCAAAGCAATGTCGTACCTTGAGGTTATTCAAAAAGCAGGGTACAGGGCCTCCATTAAAATGGGCTAAATGTTTTCAAAATAGAGTATTGTGTGATCAGCTGTTAAACTTCAGAGAGCTTCTTAAAACATTAAGCCTGGCTCAGCAAGGCTTCACTAGACCTCTGTTATTATGTTAGATTAGCTTAAGCTTAGTTTGTAGACTAATAGTAGCGTTAGCGATATTAGTGCAGCTACAGTGGAGGCTAAACACATACCTTTGTTTTTAATGTTTTACTGGTAACTTTTAAAGCCAAATGAGTAATCTTGCTTAAGAGAATCTCATAAAACATGCGATCAGACCACACTAAAACAGAATTTCTTAGTACATGATTGTGTACATGAGCAGATTTCTCTGCATAGCTACTAAAAGGTTACTGCTTTATCACGTTTGAAAATATTGTACTGCCTACACTAAACTTTACTCTAAACCTAACCAATAGTGTTAACAAAAGCACATGCAAGATAAAAACACATTTGCTGATGCAAACTTCTGTAATTTTAGTTTTTTTGTTTGCTTTTTTTTTCTACAAGATTTCTAGCATTCTATTCTAGCAATAGACTCATGTTTTATGGGACTCAGAGTGCTCCAAATCACAAGTGCAGTGATGTACCAGGTGAGCTACCGAGCAAGTTTACTACATGTTTATGTGATGCAACCATGAAAATGTAGTAGTTTGCAAATCATGAACTATAGTAAAATTGTTTTGGGATCATAGCATAGTATTGTGCAAGGAACTGTGCAAAAATAAACCTTTATTAATTGATAGCTTGTAATCACAATTTGTGTGAAAAAGGAATAAAAGTGTGAGTTCTACTGTTCATTTAAATTGGAAACTGCAGTAAATTGTATTTTATATGTGCTTTTTTTGGAGTTTGCAAAAATGTTTTTCTAATGAGACTCTTTTGCAAATTCAACCAGTACCTGCATTATAATGGTAATTGATTTTAGTAGTGTGGTCAGTCATTTACTATAGATTCATGCAAACTACTATATGGCTATCGGAGTTGAATCTGTAACAATTACACCATTGTTTTAATTCATCTGAAACCCTGGTGTCAAATCTATGGAAGCCCATTTCCGCCACTGAATCAAAAAATAAAAAAGGTAACTGCGACTTTTTATCTCGCATTTCTGACTTTTTTTTCTCAGAATTGCGTGATACAAACTCACAATTGCGAGTTTAAAAAGTCATAATTGTGAGATATAAACTCACAATTGCGAGACATAAAGGCACAATTCTGAGAAATAAGTCAGAACTGCGAGATATAAACTCACAATTCTTAAAAAAAAAATCAGAATTGAGTTTATATCTCACAATTCTGACTTTATAACACGCAATTGAAAAAAAGGTAACTGCGACTTTTTATCTCGCAATTCTGACTTTTTTTTCTCAGAATTGCGTGATACAAACTCACAATTGCAAGTTTAAAAAGTCATAATTGTGAGATATAAACTCACAATTGCGAGACATAAAGGCGCAATTCTGAGAAATAAGTCAGAACTGCGAGATATAAACTCACAATTCTTAAAAAAAAAATCAGAATTGAGTTTATATCTCACAATTCTGACTTTATAACACGCAATTGCGAGTTATAAAGTCAGAATTGTGAGATATAAACTCAATTCTGATTTTTTTTTTAAGAATTGTGAGTTTATATCTCACAATTCTGACTTTATAACACGCAATTGAGAGTTTATATCTCACAATTCTGACTTTATAACACGCAATTGAGAGTTTATATCTCACAATTCTGACTTTATAACACGCAATTGAGAGTTTATATCTCACAATTATGACTTTTTAAACTCGCAATTGTGAGTTTATATCACGCAATTCTGAGAAAAAAAATCTGAATTGAGTTTATATCTCGCAATTCTGACTTTATAACTCGCAATTGTGAGTTTATATCACGCAATTCTGAGAAAAAGTCAGAATTGTGAGATAAAAAGTCGCAATAACCTTTTTTTTCCTTTTTTTTATTCAGTGGCAGAAATGGGCTTCCATACAAATCAGATTGGACCTTCAGTCTAATTATTTTGATCACACACAAAAGATGCCCTGTTCTAGTGCCACATGTGGCCCAATTTAGAGATGTTTGTGGTGGAAGACAGCGAGCTGATCGCTCAGAGATACAGGGGTCTCAACAATGTGTTTCTGGGTCACAAAACATCTGACCACATCTGTTAAATAGCAAATGAGCAGATGTAGGGCCAGTGGTGCAATTTCTCAAAGATAAACCAGGGTGACTGATTTGATCATGTGTCCCGCTGCTGTCTATGAGCCTGCCGAGCACATGTGCAGACATGAGGGGCGGCGTTGCTAATTGAGCTGTACTTCTGAAGCGATGAGCGAGGCCCCACAGCAAAGCTACAAGCCAGAAAAGATTAGCGTTCCACACAGCCACAAACAGAATGCCTTTTGTTTCTCTCTGCTAATGAATGGAGCTTCTGAACACTGTAGCCAGACTAGAAGCATTCAGAACCCGCATGAAATGTTAGTGAAACGCACTTTTCCAGCATATTGTGCCAAAAAGGAAGCGATAATGGCATGCTTGCCACAAAAATGTGATCAAATGATTTGTCATCGGGCTTTGTTTTGCATAAGAAAAATCTTTGGGTTTCTTTTATGTCCTCGCAAATTGGCTCCTAAAATATTTAAAAGCTCATTCGATCACCGAGGGCAGAAAATGCTATTGTGTGAGGAATCGCACAGGCTGTAGTCGCTCTGAGGCATTGTACATTACTGGATGTCCTGTTTTTGCTCAATTATAGGACTTTGTTTAAATAAAACAGGATTAGAATGGTATTCTAACACCGGCTTACCTTTTATTCTAGTGGCTTGGAGGGTAAACAAGAACAGAATGAGGAATAATCCTGTTTTCAATGGCATGTTGCAGTAGATTATGTCCTTTTGGATGTAAAGTTGCTCATTTGGAAAGAAAAGACAGTCCGTATCGACTTCTCACATCCGAGAGTGAAAGAGTTAATTTCCATCGATTATGTGTCCAGGCTTCCATGGACGGGGCTGTTTGTGGGCACTGCTGTAAGTTGGGTGGTATTCCTGACAGATGGTGCAGATTCTTGGGTACAGATTTGGTCTCAAGTGTGTGAGTGGGTGGAAGATGCTCTGCAGGGTATGAGGGGAGTGATGAGGTTAAAAACTCTGCCTCTTTTTCTAGACTAATCTGTTTACCTCTCTCTGACTCCTAATCCCTGTGGGCCCATGTGGTGAACTATCCTCATCCTGTTAGTAGCCTTCTGGGCCAGCATCTGCTAGCCTTCTTGCTTCGGTCACAAGCCACCCGACTTGCCTACTTGTTCTGTTTCCAATCCGGCCGATACCCGTCTCTCTCAGTCTGGCCCACTCGACACAAGTTTCTCAGCCCTCTGCCAGCTTTTGTGGCTGCCAAGCTGAAACGCTGTATTCTACTCCCCCTGTTTGGGACAGCAAGCTCTGCCCTTTCTCTGATCATGGGGCCAGATCTGTGTACTGAGCGAGTGTTGTCGTACCCTTGTGGTGCATGTTATTCCCCAGGCCTACTGCTTGAGCTGGGAAGAGGATTACACACACCCTGCTTATTAAATTTCATAGCCATAAATAAGTCTCCGCAGCTCGAAATCCATTCAAGACCTTCCACAGCACTGGACCGTGCACGTTGAACTTCCAACTTTCAAGAGATAATGAGAACAGGCTGGTGGCCGTTTGTAACCAGCAGAAACCCCTCTGGAAATAAGAATTTGAATCATTTTTTACATAGTTAAGGCTCTGAATAAAGCTGCTCATTTTGCTTGTGGCCTGAAAAACAAAACAAAAACTAAAAAAAAAAACTCTCTTCTGCACTGCATCTTGAAGTGTGGCTTTAAATTTATATAAGGACTAAAAAACAAACTACTATTAATTTTATATATGTTAAATTTAAAAAGCATCAAACAAAACCACAAACAGGATAGTTTTTAATAAGCTGTATTTTTAAGATCAAGGTTGAGAGATATTGAAATTAACCATGGTAAAATGTTTTCTACCAAAGGCCCGTAGTTACATCAGTTATTGCTATTACTTTACAGTCATAGTAAATTATTTTATTTTTTAGTGTGCCAACATTATTATTTTGCCATCAAAATGTTCTAGTAATGGTTGCAGTTCCAAAATTCTGAGACCACTAATGAATATACTTTTCCTGCATTTTTTGTTGTTGTTGTAATTTTCTGATTTTCCACTGCAGATTGTATATTCATCAGAATAATATGAAACGATCAATTAACATGAATTTTCTGAACGTCTTTGGTATATCTCTCTATTTCTTTTAAAAACAGCATGAACTCCACTATGGACACCCCAAGATAAAGTGTAAAACCTAATGTTCCAAAATGATTTAATAAAGATCTAAAGAACATATTGGTCTTCAATAGAAGTAAGAACAATAAATCAGTCAATGTCACAAACGACCTACTTATTTGATTAGTGACTTATGAAATATTTAATATTCTGCACTATTCATATTTATTTTTATGTCATGTTTCTTTTTTCAAAATATTTACAATTCTTTCAGCTTATTTCCTGCTTTAAATCAGGTTTTAAAATTCATTTAATTTTCTAATTTAGACCCCAGATTTTCAATATGGTCTGTGACTTATTAGACAGTTGGACCCCATTGAACATTCAGGACACCCTGACCAGCTGCTTTCATTTTCTGCTAACAGAATTGGAGGAAAATCCTATTCTGACTAATAACCGCAGCTCAATGACAAATCTCTGCAATGCGGTTTTCAAATTCATCTGTCCAACAGTGGAGTTAATTCATCTATCTTGATGGCAGGAACAGTCCAGGGATATAGTACGGACAATACTTATGCGTTAATGCAAGAAAGTCAGGAAAATCAGTCGGCCGACCTTCCTACGTTTAATTGTCTTCGGGAGCCTGATTCTATTAAGAGTGGTAAAAATGAGCTCAAATGCAAAGCAGGCTGACCTTCTCACCTATGCTAATGAGTTCCATCACTGACCAATCAAAAGGGTGAACTTCAATTAACCTGGAGTGAGTGACTGTCCGAGCAGCTGTCTGGAGTCAGCACATCTCTCCTGCGACAGAACACTCTCCTCCGTGTGTCCTCTGACAGAGCTTTATATTGATGGATGACAGTGACTGACTGAATTGTTACTGTCATAATCCCTGGATACAGCTCTCATTATTTTGCCCCATGCTGCGTGACATACATATGATCCGTTCATCTTTGCATGTGAGATCTTCCAAAGTTGTTCAACATAAATCCCTTAGATAAGATCTTTTTTTCTTTTTTTGAGTAGATACAGGTCTTTCTAGGCTTGGCTAGTTACTGTTGTTTTTTCCTCAACATTTCTAAGGGCAGTTTTGAACTCCATATTTGAATGCAGTTGTGCTCTTCCTTATACATTTGACATGATGTATATAAAAGACAAACTTTTATTTTGAGCTAGTTTCCAAGGCAACATTTCTCATTCTCATTTAGTTTAACTTAATACTAAAATAAACGAAATTCAAACTGAAATAAAAACAAAAAACTATAAAGATATGTATAAAATTTCAAAATGACAAAACCTCACAACAAAATTAATAAATCTTGATGCAAACAGAAAATATAAAAACTAACTAAATATTAATAGAAACTATAATAGTATCTCAATTACACGGTCTTATATTTTTGACAATTTTATTTTATTATTTGTATATGGAGTTTTGACTTATTCTCACTTATGTATTTGACAACTTTATTTTATTTTGACTTAAACCCTTGCCTCAGTCTCTTTTATGTATTTGACAACCAATTTTTATTTTGTTTTATTTATAAGCATATGTTGAAGATCTTCATCTGCTGTTTAGGATTTAAGGTAATTATGATCTCCAGCTGTGGTTTAATCTAAAAAGAAAACGGCACCATATGAGAAAAGGTCCTCTAGGCTTATTTGAGCAAAAATGATTATTATAATTGTGTTATATTGTGTGATGGGCAGCTTCTCTTGACAGATGTGGCCGATTCTGTCATTCATTGAGCTTTTGCGGCTCCAGGCTTCTCCTATGGGTGGTCGTGGGTATTGCTTTGGCTGGAGATTGACGCTGTTACAGTGACCACAGACTGACATCGGAATGAACTGCACTGAAGTCACAGAAATCTCCTGTTTTCAAACAAGCCATCACACAGCCTTGCAAAATGCTTTTTCCAGCGGTATATTTATGACTGTGCACAGTGAAGCCACTCTAAATCTAAATGTGCTATGAAGAGCCGAGATGTGCTGCCCCCAGGAAACTTCAGCAGACCAGAGTAATGACTCAATGCTATGGAGAGAAGATTTTCAAATCTGACTCTCACTCCTAGCAGACCGAATTCAGCGTCCTTGAAGATTTCATGTCATGAACTAATGCAGAGTCATTGACCAAAGGACATTTTCACATGCTGGTGTAACATAATGACAGTAGAGTGTTTACCGAAGCCTATCATATTTAATTTATTTTAATACCATCGTTCCGGTTGCTTAGCCATTGCGGTTTTATTATGAACAGAAAGTTAGACTGAACTGACATCGTTTTTCCAAAAAGTGAATGGGAAAGTCTTAAGTATCTATAGCCAAACACACTTGAGTAAAAGTAAAAAATGTTTTGTCATTTTGTTGTATGTAGGTATTTAAAAGCAAAAAGATGTTTGAAACTGAATGATGAAAGTAAGAGACGGTAGAGATTTTCACATTAAAGTAACTTTGATGCTCTAAAAGGAACCGGTTCAGTCGCAGATTTCTCGTGTGTAAAGCTCAAGGGCAAACCACCTGTCTGGTGAACGTTAACATCAGCTTTATAGTAGTTTGACTGTTTAATATACAGTAGTAGTTTAATATAGTAGTGGTGAGACAAATCTATTTACAAGGACAAATTACCATAGTTATGGCTGTTTGCATTTTACATTTGAAGATTTTGAAATTACACAATGATTTGTACGTATATACTACCATGAAAAAAAAAACTGGGGTCAGTAAGACTTTTTTTTTTAAGAAAGTCTCTTATGCTCACCATGGCTGCATTTAAAATACCGTTTTTTTATTTTAATATATTTTAAAATGTAATTTATTCCTGTGATGCAAGGCTGAATTTTCAGCAGCCATTACTCCAGTCTTCAGTGTCCAGTCTTTGGCACTGAATCAATGTTGAAAACAGTTGTTTTGCTTTATATTTTAGTGGAAACTATCATAACGTAACTCGCATTACTTGTAATGAGTTACCCCCAACACTGGTTAATAGGTACTTTCTACTTTTAATGATGAAAAAAAAAATATATATATATTTTAAAGTATAAATTCCTTTGAATAAAACATACAGTACTGGGTTATTATTCTAATATCACTTGTTTGAATTTGTCCAGGAAGCACTTCTTATCTAGCTAATATCATTCCAAATTGTTTGCTTACCATCTGTTGATCGCAATGGTCTCATATGCGACGCTAAAGCACTTTTGCAAGTCACTCTGCATAAAAGCATCTGCTAAATGCCTTAATGTAAAAGTATAGAAATGAAGTGCAATTACTCAGGTACTTTATACCCCTGCATAAGAGTTTTCTCAGAATAGAAGCACTGGTTTGCTGGTTATGTTGCAGCACTGAAACTGCTACACATCATACGTTTAATGGAGGAATATATTTCCCCTGATACTGCATGCTTACTAAGGTAGACCAAAACTTAGCTTTCCATAAATGAGCATGTTTCAAATCTCTGAGACATAATTATATCTATGAATGTCACATCATTTATCCTGATAAGAAGAAAAAAACACAATTTCCCCATGGACATGATTTGCAGAAGCTCTTACAATTATTGAGATGCATTAGGGGATATTTTTTTCTGCCATACAATGCAAGTATAGACATTTTTATTTCATAGATTTATGTAACAAATAACCCTGCTCAAAAACAAAGAAAATCTTTAGAGCAAAAACTAAATGCAAAATGGACCTCATCTACTTTGATGACATTCTACATGTGGTATTAAAAGTCACCCCATTTGTCATAACTTTGTCAATGTTGTTTGATGTCATTATTGCAATATTGTTCTTTTTTTTTCTTCTTTGCAACTGTAATAATTTAAAGGGATAGTTCACCCCGAAATTAATATTTTATCATTTACTCACCCTCAAGTTGTTCCAAAACTGTGTGAATTTCTTTCTTATTGAACACAAAAGAGGATACTCTGTAACCAAACAGTTTCTGAACAGTATTTTTTTTTCCATACAATGAAAGTCAATGGCTACCAGCAGCTGTTTAGTAACCAACATTCTTCAAAATATCTCATTTTGCGTTCAACAGAAGAAAGAAATTCATGCAGGTTTGGAACAAGTTGAGGATGAGTAAATTATATCGATTTTTGGGTGAATTTCATCTACTTT